GTTGCAATGCAAGCTTTAAGAAAAGGGGATAACTATTAAGCTCAATCTAAAAGCTCCTCTTAAGAGGGTTAAATATACATCTATGCAACAAAGTTTTCTTTTTTTGATAATAAAAGTTCAATACATATCGATTGAAGGCAAACAGGCAACAAGCTGCGCCGCTAGCCCTTTCTGGATGGCAAAACCAATTCTTTTGAAAACAATATTTGTGGATCTAGGAGATTTGACATTAAAATGCATGACCCGTTGGACTCTATTGAGGAGCTCCACAGCCTCTGGTGCAAGAAAACCAAATGTATTGAATAAAGAAAACTTTTGTCTTTGACTAACCAACCTCTGTTTCATAAAATAAAAATCAAGGTAAACGAGATCAAGAGGCAGTGTTATCCCCATTAAAAAGAAATGGTCAATATTGCAAAACTCACTGAAGCAAATGATCAAACACTTGGTGGGCAATGAAAATCCAACACCATAAAATAATAATAATAATAATAATAATAATAATATATGTTTTTAGTTTTTAAAAAGTAAAACTTAATTGTTTTGGTTGAAAAGAAATTTGGAGAGGTAAGGGAGAAGGGGAGAACCTGAATCAACGAATCTGACATGAAGTTAGATGTTGTTGCCGGAGACAGTGATAGTGGTAATCATAGAGCACAAGATTAAGAAGCAGGCACTACATTGATTTTCCAGAAAGAAAATAACAGACATTAATCGACAATCGATCCAAAATCAAAAACCCCTAAAATGTTAAATATCTGTCGATAAACCAACCATCGGCACGTCACTGTACCTGACTCGACGAAATCGTTAGCATCCCGAAACTCCGGCGACGTTGATAGCTGGCCTGGACTCCGGCGACTCATTTGACCTACACCACGATGACGTCAGCTGTACCGGGCCAAACAACATCGTATGCCATCCTCGTTCAAAATCAACAGAAAACAAAGGGGATTACTGATGAAGGATGGGGAGTGAATGAGTGTGGCATATAAGTTTAAAGGACCAAAGGTTCTACCCATCAGATCGTTCCTCCTTTTTCTTTTTTTGAGGTGAGGGACTGAGGGTAGCCCCGTCATGGCATAAAGGGCTGATTCTTCCATTGAAGAATTTGATTAAGCCACTAAAATTACCCCAATTACAAGTATACCTTTGTTAAGATATATAGCAGATTTTAATTCTGTTTAGTTTGCCAAATTTTTCAAAAAGCAATTATACCAAAATAAAGAATTGACATTTTATAACCCTATCTCTTTTTCTTTTGAGGTATTGACATTTTATAGCCTCATCTTTTTTTTTCCTTTGCTCTTTCTTTATTGTTTACACCAATATCTTTTTTTACAATAATCCATCATATATATATATATATATATATATATATATATATATATATATATATATATATATATATATATATATATATATAGGGGATAGGGAATATACATTACAGCCCTATATAAGTTTGCCTACAAAACCTTATAAACGACATCGGTCTGCTTTGTAATTAAAAACCCAAATTTAGGGGAAAAAACAAAACAAACACCATGTTCTGGTGTGTGCGGTCATAAAAATCAGAAGTGACGAGGGAGGAGCTGAGACGAGGATATGGGAGCGAATTCGAAGTAGGAAACACAATTTGAAGTCATTTGGTTGAAAGAAAAATAGATGCACAGGGGATAAACCGAGCGTACATGGGTTCTTAATCCCACTGTGTTGTTGTGTGGTCGCCGATGGCGGAGGGTTGTCGCCGATGGCGGCAACGCTGACCACTAGAGAGGGAAACGACGACGCTCAGTCGGAAGTCGCCGGAAAAGGTGCCTTTTTCTAATTTGTGAAATTTCATTGATTGTCAATTTAACATAAACCTCAATTAACAAACTTCCTTCCTAACCTAAAATCTTTTTTTTTTCTGATTTGTGGTTTCGATCCACCAGGTCAGTAACGACGAGATGACCTGAATTGACGAAATTGTAATAATTTTGGCGAAAGAGGACTACAGATGGTTGGGGAATGTTTCAATTGTGAAGCTTTCTGATTTTTCCCTTTGATTCTTGTTCTATTTGCATCGATCTGGTATCAGTTGAAATCTGTAATCGTCAATTGAAATTTCAAGGGTCAATTACCTTCATCGATTGAAGTCACCAATTATAAGCTGCGACAATTGATACAAATTTTTCTATTTGTGTGTCAATTCTCCCTTTAGAAAACATGGGCTTTCTCTATTTCAGTTAAGGAAAGTGAGAATTCTTTCAATTTATCAATACCAGCATTCCTGTTGCAGGTAGTCTTTCAGCCTCTTCATTTCCTTTTACTCTTTTTTATGATGCTAATACATTTTGGCATTGTGTAGGATTGGGTAGGATAGAGAAAGACAGTAATTGGATCACAATTATGGTGGAATTAGGAAGTGGATGACACATTGTATCAAGGGTGGAAACAACTTATGAAGGATCTTAGTGCAAATATATTAAAGTCATGACATATTGCAATCCTTGTCTAGCTCCGGTATGTAATCATTTTCTTTATCAAAAAACACTTGTAAGGGCATTCATGTCTTTTGAAGATTTTTACTGATACATATCAGATGGATAGAAATCCAGATGCAAGGAGAAAGCTATTTGAAGAGGCAAAGAAGTTGGACATTTTAGTAAAAGACGAGTTGGACATTTTACCATGATTATTGTATTTTAAGGAATTATCATACAAAGATTTTATTGCTAACATTTAGCTATATTGTTGGTCTTAATGAATGGCTTCCATGTGGATATAAGTTGCTCCAGTAATTTACATATGAAGGTTCCAATTTTCTCAAAACCTCATTGATTTTTTTTTTTGCATGTCATCGTTGTGGCAGATAATCTATCGGTTCAAGAGGAAGGGTAAAAAGGGAAAACAGTCCTTACCAGTGAGCAAGAGGGGCAACAGGGGTAATTTGGGGACTACTATGAAACTCGAGGCAGGAAGGGTAAAAAGGGAAAACAGTCATCATTGGGTCTAATGTTCATCACTCTTGTTTGGTAGATTTAGAAGTTTATTGTCATTAGTTGTAAGAATTTAGTAACTTTATATATGGTATTGTCATATTTTTGGCATTTTTTGTTTCAGTTTGTAATATGTACTTGAACCAATCTTCTTATTAACATAATAATACTTTCAACAATAGCATTGTCATTTCATTTTATACACATAATAGCATCGTACTTTCAGTTTTTACACATAACATCCGCGTAGTTTCATTTTTTACACATAATACCCCCGTACTTCCTTTTTTTACACATTATAACATCGTACTTTCAGTTTTTACACATAATATCCACGCACTTTTATTTTTTACACATAATTGCATCGTAATTTCATTTTTTACACGTAATACCCCCATACTTTCGTTTTCTACACATAATAGTATCGTACTTTCATTTTTTACACATAATACCCCCATACTTTTGTTTTCTATACATAATCACATCATACTTTCAGTTTTTACACATAATACCCCCGTACTTCCGTTTGTTACACATAATACCCCCTACTTTCATTTTTACACATAATTACATCGCACTTGCATTTTTTACACATAATAGAAGTAACCATTCAAAATTTTCATTCCAAAACAGCAACGTACACGATTTATGTCCAAAACTGGAAAAAATACAATTATTTAAAACTAGAAAAAAAAGGACAATTAACCTAAGCTAGAAAAAAGAGGAGAATCAAACAAAATCATAGCAACTACATATCCCATCATTGTTTCTCTTGCAACGATTCATCTACCTGATACATGAAAATATAAATAGATTATTATATAAATATAAGAACTGCAAAATCATGACAAAGTAAGTTACTACTATATGTACCTTTCTTTTAGAGCAACTAGTAGCATAATGACCTAATCATTGACAATAAGAGCATGTTCGTTTTTTTGGCACTTCTAGAGAAGACTTAATTCTACTAGCAATTTTAGGACACCCTTTCGTGTTAGTTGGAGCAAAAGGATCTCGGACAAATAACTGAGGCGTCATATCGACTTGTGACATTCTCACACAAGAACCTTGAGATACGTTCTCAACTGGTAAAGGTTTTTTCCGTATTGCTTGATCTTGTAAGAGCTTTATCAATACGTTATTGACATTTTCTATTTCTGAAGGGGAGTCTTTTACTTGTTCAATTACTTTATTAAAATTTGAACGAACACACCATAAAGTGTAAGCACTAACCCCGTTTCCGTTATTCATTTCTTCGAGTCTGATGCTACGCTTACCCATCTTGTACCTAGCATTAAGGGTCCACCGAGATAAAATGTAATGACTCGGAAGTGTATCAACATGCCTTTTCTTCATCACGTATAAGCTATGTTTGCATAAAATCCCACACGTCTCATACTTAGCACAAGAACATGTGACATGTATCTTATTTGACAAACAAAAGGTAACAATCCGCCAATATTTTTTGTCAATGTCCAATTGTCCAACTCGATACTTGATTTCTTCTGTACTTTTGCTTATAGTCTCATGTGTTAAATTGCTAGTAGCTTCCATCCATTCTTTTTTGAAAATCTCAAATACCTTTCTAGTATAACACTCACCTGCTTTTGCTTCAATTGGATGTATAGAGGAAAGAACCGGCCTCGAGTTCATAGTCTTGAAATCTTCATCTTCTTCGGCGGCCCTTCGTGAAGCAACTGCTTTGTCATATTGTACTAAAAAATCATTCAACATGGTACTTGAGTTAACAAAATCATCAAAAAATGAATTAATACTCTCACTGCGTCCACTTGTTGACATACCGGCCAAGAAAATATCCTTTAAGAAGGCTTTAGCCCAATGTATTCGTTGGTTATACATCTCAGTTATCCAAAAATTGCTTTCGAGTTTATACTTATCACGCATAACTTCCCACCTAGTTTCAAATTCTTCAGTTGTGGCACTCATTACTCATTCTCTATATGATTCTTGAAAATCACTGTAGCGGGCAATGTACGGTCGAAGGTGTTCCAATTCATGCTTTTTTATATGTCACGCACAAAAGCGATGTCGGGCGTTTGGAAACACTTTTTTTATTGCATTACCCATAGCTTTGTCCTGATCAGTAATAATAGCCTTCGGATATTTGCTAAACATACATTTTAGGAAATGCTCAAACAACCATACAAAAGTTTCTTCCTTTTCGTTTTCTAGCAACGTTCCACCAAAAAGTACAGACTGTCCATGATGGTTCACCCCAGTAAATGGAGCAAAAGGCATCTTGAATTTGTTTGTCATATAAGTGACATCAAACACAACAACATCTCCAAATTTAGTAAAATCGTCTCTTGATCTTCCATCAGCCCAAAAAATATTTCTAGGACAACCATCACTGCACAAATCCACAACATAATACTGATCATTATCCACTAATGCTTTATCTTGTAAATGTTTTATTAGTCCATAAAACTCCCTTCCTTTGTTGTGTTTTCGTTGCTCAGATAATACATCAACACATTGTTTTGAAGTAACATCAACTTCATTTGAGGTTTTCATTGCATTAATAGCCTTTTTAATTTGAGAAGGTTTCAACCCTGCTTGATTAAGTTCCACCATGAGAGATTTACATTCCATTGTACGGTGGAACTTCACATGAGACCGATGCTTCATCACTTTTGTTGGTGTCATGCTTAATTCGTGATTGTGTGTGTCATCAAACAAGTCCACAAACCATTTCCCATCTTTCTTTTTTGAAATTCGAAACATTGCTTTGCATCCGATTCTAACTTCTCTACGACGTTTTTTCTCATTTCCAAATAAAGTATTACCATCCTCCCGTTTAAAACCTTCTTTGTCGCATACAAGTGTCTTTCGATAAGGTTCATTTGTTCCCTTATTTTTGCATGTGGTATGAATACGTATACCAAATCCATGTACAAATGCATAATCATTATAAAAGTTATATGCATCATCGGTTGTATCGAAAACCTTTCCTAAAATACTTTCATTGTTCAGTCCATCTTCCTCACATTCAACATTTGCATCTTTTATTTCTTCAGTTTCATATGTTGCTTCTAACAAATCATTTGCATCAACATCTTCAGTTGTATGTGCTTCGATATTCCCATCTGCTTCGGTTTCAGACATCATTCACTATACATTACATCCAACAATAATCAAGAATT